CGGTTGAATTTTGCGTTTACGTTGATCTTCGAGGGCCCAATTTCCGGAGTTCGCCTCTGGCCCCTCCGATCACAGGACCGGCACTGGGTTGCAATTTCATATGAAAATACTGTAGTCAAAAGTTTTATTTAATGACTATTTTTTGCCATACAAAGGTGTTATCACTCAGCATACAACAAGTTCTAGACTAGTAATTGACAGTGTTATAGAAATGTTCGATCATCTTCCGGGGTTTTACTCTTATCTCTGTTCCAGGATTGAAAATCCACTTAAATGTATGAAGTCTGACGACTCAGAAATGCTTTGTAGAGATGGACGCCAGGACTTGGGCCGCCCTCCTGTAAAATTCATTGATCCAGACGACCTCTGCTGATGTCTGTCATGTCTCGTGGCCTGAAATTGTCAGTTCATTCTTAAGTAACCTTAAGAAGAGAATCGAAAAAGCCTTCTTGAAATGTATGGACTAATTTTCGTTTTTCCTGTCCGATTTGTTGTTATTTACTGCTTTGTGTACAAGTCACCATACTCTCTTCATTATATTCCTGTATATATATGAAGCTATGCAGAAGATAATCTAAACATAAAATTTCCTTATTTAGATTACCTGATCATTCTTCTCCGATGCCGGTTTTCGTGTTTTAGACTCTCGACTGGAACGTTGCTTATCTGAATCTACCGGCAACTGCTCACCGGATTTTGGTTGGTTTTCCTTCATCTTTGCATACTTTTTTGCTTTCAGCACTTTCATTACATCTATATATCAAAAAGAATAAACATTAAACTTCCTTACCACAAAATCACAAAGATCATACATAAACACCCATAAATCTAGCCTGTCCAAGAAATAACCTTGTGTGGTGACAAGTCGATAAGCCCGTCCGAGAACTAAAGTATCAGTGGGCCGTAGAAGCTTAACACGCGTAAAACGTGCAGTCTTGTCATCGGAATTCTCTTTGCCGGAGATTGACAATGGAATTATCAAAGAAACATAATGCCCTGGATTCATTTTCATCACCTCACTTGCCGTTACCGGCCAGTACATTCTCTCTAGTTTTCCCTCTGGATGTTGTATTACAAGTACTGCAGCATCTACAGCTTGACAGTTCCCCATCTATTTCTAATTCTCTCTCTAAAGTATTTCCGATTCTCTCTCTAGAAATGATTAGGAGCAACAGAAGAAGATGAAGAAAGAGATAAGGAGAACCCACCACCCCTCGAGGTGGTAAAAGAAGTATCTCACACTCCAAATATGTTGTCCCTCCTTTCCCAAATAATCTACTTATAATTTAGATTTGTAAGTATCATTAATTTCGTCAACTTGTATATAGTAATGGTAATTAAGAACAGGATCAATGTGTAAATCATTAAAGTTAACGTTGCATCAATGGTTGCCGGCAGGGTTGCTTGGATACTGGTGAAATGGTCACGTGGAGGCAGTGGATTTTGGAGGGTTGTGCTCGGCCATGTCGACCAGATCAAGATTTAGATTTGGATTTTACTTTTATAGTTGTTGAAGCTATAAATATAAATATATTCTTTTTCCCCCCTATCCGATGAATAACTATTTTAAGTTTTTAGATGAAATGATTCGATATAATATCGCATTTGGTGAACATTTCAAATTCTGAGTTTGAATCTAGATTTGTTGTCTCCATCTTGTTGTCTCAATGGCTATTACTGTTTACAATTCTAGAAGATGCGATTTAATATGGTATCAAATTAGGTATACTTCTCGAATTCGAGTCATGTTGTTCGCATCTCATGGTCTCATTGATGGTTGCCATCTCGGTGTCCCCATAATCATTGAACTTTATTTTGTTTTAAAGTGGTTACTGAATTTTGTTGAGTCAAATGTATGCTTAAAAAGTGTTCATAAACGATTTAAATTATAAGTAGATAAAAATGATCTATAGAGTTAGTATTTGTGAATCTTTCGAAATATCTGAATAAAAAGTATCTGAGATATTTATAAACAACTTATAAATATGAGACAAATATATGCTTCAATCAAATTTTAGTTAGGGATTTTTGATAGATGTAACACTTTCATGAGGCATTTCGTTAAGAAAACAATATTAAATTTTAATGATCACTTCGAAACAAAATAAAGTTATTTGATGAGCAAGAAACTCGTATTTCATTCAACTATAAACTAAATCCAAATTATAGAGCTACGACACAATCAAACTTGATTAAGCAAAAATGTTTTTTTCCCATAAATTGAATGACTTCCAAATGTTTATAAATAGGAAGTGATTTTTAATTGATTAAATTTTTAGATAAATTCGAAGAAAAATAAGAATGGAGTCAAT